TGAGATTATAGAAAGTTCGAAAGTAAAAGCCAGAACTATGGTAGATGCTGCTATGCAGGTACACAGAAGTTTGGTGTACTATTTCAGAATACACATTTTTAAAGTTGACACTCCACAGACACCAACCTTTCTGAGATGACCATTTTTTTGGTTAGGCAATTTCATCACTTAATGGAGTGGAATATGGTGCGGGGGGTGTTGAGGATGCTATAGATTATCTAAACAGCCGGATACCCACAGATGGGTTGTGCTTGCCTACTGTAAGAAGTTACACTATTATTTTTGTTTTACTTATTGTACGAATGTACGTTCCTTCTCCCTGTGTTGATATGAATTCTAACCCCTTCGTAGGAACCCGGTTCTAAGTTGAAGAACACTTTGCATGGAAACGAGAAAGAATACCCGTTAGAACTTATTGCTCAATGTGTTGCTACTCTTCTTATGATTCAGGTAAATTGAAGAACGGTGAAAAAAAGCAAGGACTACCCTTCCCTAGATAGACAATGTGGCACAGCGGAATGATTCCGATGTGTCTTCGAGGTCTATGATTAAATCCAACTCTGCAAAAAGCAAAATTGGCCTAGAATTTAGGTGATCAAAAGGTTCAGGACCAAAAAGATCGACTGGAGTAAAGTCGTAATTTTACTAATTTTCAAAAAAAATTCCAATATAGATACATATAATCAATCCTATTTATATAATACTTATTTTTTATCAAGGATTTTGCTTAACACATCCCTTAAGGTTGTGTTTAAGGATTATTCAAATTGAAAGAAGGCAAATATTGATTTGGAACACTGAAATGACCGTCTTAACGGAGATGGATAGTGTAAAGGGTGGCTGTTTCATTTCACCATACGAGATATCTTCCATTTGATTCTTAAACGCACACCTAACTTTAGGTAGAAGACTGTAGGAAGAAGGAAGAAGTTAATGAAATAAAGTTTGTCATGTTTTAGTTCTTAAAAATGAAGAATTAATAAAAATGAAAAGGATAAAGTAGTTTGGAACGTCGATTGTATGGGATCAAGATTGGACATAACTTGGGGTGGCCTGAGGCATGGTAGTGCCGAGTGCCGACCCTATCTGCCCTTAGTGGTGGGATGTTCAACCCACCCGCCCAAATGAAACTGAACCACTAAAAGGGTGAGCAAAAGGGTCTGAACTGACCCCTACCCTATCTGACTAGCTTCTACGCGTTAAGTTGGGTTTGACTCACCTCAAAAGGATTCCTAAGAAAAGTGCGGTAAACACATTTATATGCAAAATTCAATATATGTGGGGGGTACTCCACATTCTTCATTTGATGTAACTATGAGTGTTTTTTTAATGAACTGCAGAAGTGTACGGAACGGCAATTTCCTCCAGCAGATGTGGCGAAGATACTGGACTCTGCTGTCACAAGTTTGCATCCCAGTGCTTCTCACAACCTTCCACTGTATGCTGAGATAGAGAAGTGCATGGGAATTGTTAGAAACCAAATACTGGCACTGATACCCACTTAGGCTCTGTTTGGATTGAGTGTTAGGGTGAGGAGTAACTCATATTCCCCTCTTCATACATTTACTCTCCATTTTGAACACCCCAAATGGAGTGCAAGGGAGAGTAATATATGCATTTTCAAACAAGGTTTCTTCACTCACTCTTGTTTACTCTCACACATTCTTACTTTTCCTTACTCTTACCCTTCAAACCTACTCTCCACCCAAGCTGAGCTTAGTCACTTCCTATATTTTCCTTTAGGTGCTGTTTTAGAAACCCGGATCGTAGGCTTTGAGGGGTATAATGGTCCAGTTTTAGTGTTGGATTGACCATGACATCGAGTCGCCTTCAATGGATTTCACCTGGCTGACATTACAACCCAACCAGTCAGCTTTTAAGAAGTCGGTGAGGCAACGGTGTACATTCTTGAACACGCGAGGCAACCGTCTTATATTCATGTGTTTGACTCACTAAGCGTGAGGCAGCCATGTACATCCCCTTGTATTTAACCATTTGTCTTTTATTTATTAACACATGATAAAGTTAATAAGTGGTTTATCAAAAGAATAATGCTATGTGATTGATCATAGATTATTCTCGTATCTTATACAGTATTTCACATATGTATAATAATGGTTTGTGTTTGTAGAGTGCAGTAAAAAACACTTCTTCCCGGGAAAAATAGTACCTGTTTCTTTTGATGGAATTTCGTTCATTTTGATTTTTTTCTAATGTACTTTTGCTCATTCTTGCATTATTTTTGGTTTATTCACAAGATTGCCATCACAATTTTTAAAATATTATCTCTGTCTTGAAAAGATCTTTATGTTTACTAGTTTCTTCATCTAAAAATACTTCATGTTTTCTTTTTTTTGGGAGGTTTTTAAAAAGTTTCTTATTTCTTGTTTTGGAAAGTTTTTCATACTTCTCTAGTACCTGCAGAGGATTTATACAATTACCAGGAATCAAATTTAACTGTTATTCTCTTGGCACGGGCAACGCTTTTGAAGTTTTAAAATGCTCTGTTAAAATGTCAGTTTCTACCCTCTCACCCCCCCCCCCCTCTCCACCACCACCACAACTAGCATTTTGGTGTTAACTCGCCTCCCACACTCCACTTTTTCAACTTATTTCTCTTTCACGGAGTATTGTTTTTAGGACATAAATAAAGTGTCTAGGAAATGAAAAATAATAGAGTTATGTGATTGATATTGATATTAAACAATAAAATAAAACCAGAATAAATGCGAATCACTTTTATATGATGAAATATGACATGAGATAAAATTAATGAAAAATAAAACAAAAGAAACAATTAAATATATTGAGAGGAAGGTAGTATAATTCTGATAGGAAAGTACATCGACTTCATGTAGGAGAAGTTAGATTACACCTCAAAATATGGTTTTCGTTTGACTTTTTGAAACATTCTTCTTATATTTGTTTATAAAGTTTGACCAATTTTATTTTTAATTCAATTTATTTGATTGTAATTATAAAATTAAAAAATAAAATTTATATATTTAAAATTGCATCAAATGTGCTACAAAACAAGTGGTGAAAACTATATTGTTTTATCAAACAACTAACAAAAATAAATAAAGAAAATGATTAGAATTTGACCTTGTGAAAAATAACTGGAAAAAACATTTTGGGATAGAGGATGTAGTATATTTTATCATTAATATTTATATTTTACATTAATACATATTACGGGGTATCTGTGTATGAAACTATGATTAAAATATAATAACAGTAAATTTACATAATAGTCTGATCTTGTATTTTTTATAATCCATATAGTACGGAGTATAATATTTTAAGACGGAAAGAGTACATAAATAATTTGCATTAAATGGTACTTGTGACTTTTTAAGCTTCATTTGTGAAGTGTTACTTATCTTTCTTGAACCACATTTTCAAAACATAGTGGCTCTCTACGACTAATATTTACTACACGTTCTCTTAACAAAAAAAAATACAACACGTTTTTATTTGGAAAAAGAAACACTGATGAGTGAATGAGTGATAATCGTGCAAGAGTGTTTTCAATTGCTTCTATAAAAACAATGGGCAAAACCGCAAAAGTAATGCATTCTTCATCCCATATTATTGGTAGAGTATTGACTTTTTGTAAGAGGGCTAGAAATATCTTTAAAGTTTGAGATTTCAAAATTTTTTATGTATGTCATGTCAGTTTTAATTTATTTCATAGTTATATTAAAAATAGATTTGAAGCACATGGGCTTTCACATCTTGTAAAAATTAATAAAATTTCATTAATTAACTGAATTTAACAATAATAATTCATTAAATAAAAAAATTACATTCAATTAAAAAAATTGCATTAATAAAATTTGAATAATAACAACAAAAATATTAAATATTACATTACATTACGCAAAAATTACTGATTATTTGAGCGACTAAATATATCTTCAATCAAATCCATAGTTAGTGCATTGTGAATCTCCCGACTTTGGATTTCTTGGTGGTTTCTTCGTTTCTTTTCTTCATCGATTTATTCGTACGTATGCACCTCCTCGTACATGTTGTAATTATAACATATAACGACTCATCCAAAAATGACTACCAAAATCCTCTGGTGTGTAAACACACGGAATAATATTGAAGTAATTGTTGAGCAGTGATTCGTGTGCAGCTGCCTAATCAGGAACTTTTTTAAGGGACGGAGGGAGTATTTTTTTTGAAAATCACTAATCTTTCTATTCAATAATTTCTTTCTCATTTTGACTTGGAACAGAAATTAAACAAAATTAAAAAATGTAAAGGCTTTCAATATTTGTCCTTGAAGTAAAATGATAAAGTAAATATTGTAGATGAAAAGTGGGGCATAATGACACGTTCATTAAAATTTTGTTGCTTGAATAAGCAACGGGAAAGAAATTTGTGAACATTTTAAAAATGAAAGTGAAAAAAATTAATGGACGGAGGGATTATTAGTTTATGAAATATATATATTCGTTTGATTTAATAAAATGATGGTATTTTTTTTCTTTTTAGAAGTATCCATGTGTCATATAATACTGAGTAGCAATGATAAATATTAGAGCAATGCTAGGGATACACCAAAAGTGTACGCTAAATGTACACCACCTCCTTCTCCACCACCCATTTTTTATTTCATTTTTAATTATTTTTTTTTATTTTCTTGCCCAATTATGTGGACAAGGAGGGGGTGGGGGACAAATGGGGTACACCTTTCGTGTACCCCTACCATTTTTCTAAATATTATTACGGGTCAGGCCTGCCCATACCACAAACATCCAAGTTTGAGAGTCGAGCCTACAATTTTGTAGGTCGGCTTTTACAGGCGGGTCGGATACTCGGGTCTGTTATTGGGTGTTTCCTCAACTCAATCATCAATTAAAACATACTCCCTCCATCCCGCTTTGTTTGTCCAATTTTGACTTTTGGAGCTGTTCATCTAAGCACTTTGACTCATCAAATTTTCTCAATGTGTAAGCCTAAATATAGGCATGTGTGATCTTGTTTGATTTGTCTTAACATATTGATTATTAATATATAATTTCTCTAATTTTTTAATATACAAATTACAAGATAAAATGGATTAAAGAAGTGCATTGAATGATGTGTAAAAATGAAAGTGAACAAATACTCTGGGACGGAGAGAATACTAGGTGTTCCTTATCTTTTATGCCAGTGTTATGATTGTAAAGACCATTTGGGTACACATATATTCTTACTCCGTATTTAGTTATTAGCATAATTACATGAATAATTCATCAACTCCCACAAGACTTGGGTATCCATCCAAGTTCAGCATGTCCCTGATCTCATCATCCGCCGTCAATGCAGCGGCGCTACTCGACGACGACGGCGTCGACATGTCGGAAAACGAGACTGCAGGGCGGAAGCCGGAATCGCCAAAGACGACGTCGTTTGAATAGAGTGCGGAGGCATCGAGCAGCTGACGAGGATCGGCGGAGAAGGGTTGGCAGTAGCCACCGTAGTCTCCGGCAAGAGGCGGCGGAGTGAAATAGCCTTCTCCTTCAGTTTCCCATTCATTGGGCTGGGCGCAAAACCGTCCAAACGCGAAGGCGTCGGTATTGGGCTGGACCGGGCTTTGGCTTGGGCTACTGCTGACATCTGGCCCAAGAACTGGATTTCGTGGGCCCAAATCCAGGCCCTGTTGATGCAGGGAAGTGGCGAAGTTGAAGAGAAACTGAGGATTATTTGAAGTGGCGAGAAGAGAGGAGAGTTGATGAAGAAGATGGAGCGTTGGGGCATGGGTCGCGGGATCGATTCCCATCCTCAACAGTCTCTTTCTTATGTGAGTGTTCCAATAATTCTTTATCTCGTTGTCTGTTCTCCCCGGCAGCCTCGCAGCTATTGCTGACCACCTGTTTTCATTGTCAAACATCATTACTATTATTTTTATTATCATACAAATGGGACCCATCCTTGAGGGTTCCTCAAACCCGGCCAGACGGTCACTGAGAGAAGGTAAATTAGACTTTGGTCATAGATTAGTGTCAAAGAGTAGAGCCTGCACCTAGCACCTGCAGAGGTTCTATGCTTAGCATAGTTGCCTCCCAGTGCAGTTGTCAGGAATCGAACTCGAGTCTTAATTTGTAAACAGTAATTTTTGCACAAAATTGACTAACACTATAAATGGTTGTCACCCGTGGTGTCAAAACTCGAAACGTGGCTTACTTGTTTCCCAACACGCGGTGGAGTTGGATGATTGTCTCCTCTTCTTCGAACGAAAACCTTCCTCTCTTAACGTCTGGTCTCAAATAGTTCGTCCAACGCAAGCGACAACTCTTTCCACACCTATCCAACCCTGCATCATCATATATATATATGAACATGTAAAGGACAAAAAAAAACAAAGAGAAATGAGGCATGTATGTATGTATGAATGTATTGTACCGGCGGCCTTGGGGAGGGACCTCCAGTTAGGATGGCCATGTTTGAGGATGAAGTGAGTGAGTTTATGGTCTTCTTCAGGGGACCAAGGACCTTTCTTAACCCCATTCTTTTCACAACAAGGTGCTCTACCCATATTTTTGATCCCTAAAATTGATGTTAGCTTAGTTGATTGGAGGATGGTATACATATTTATATATATAGAAGAAAAGCTAGTAGTCATGATGAAAGAAGGGTACGTAGCTAAAGAGTTTAGTCAAAGCAATTTGGGTGCCGTCCGTCCGATGTAGACAAGTAATGGAACGTGTCACCTTTCTGTGGAGAAAAGTGTGAATCCAACCCTATGCTTCCCCCGCCCCAAACCAAAAACTGCCCCTTACTTATTGCCACCATTTGCACAAACGACTTTCTTTGTGTCATTTATCCATGAACTTTAAAAATTGTACCATTTGATCTTTGATCAACAGTTCCTCTGCATCAAAATTAGGAGCACGTCAATCACACATTTATCAATATACTCGCTGGAGCTTGATGAAGCTGTCATGAATTGATGAAAATATTGATCGATTGGTGAAGAACTTCATTCACGGATGCTTGGGCTTTGGATTCGGTTACCAACCGCTAGAGCGAGAACAAATATTTGGGCTTTCAAGAGGTTTAAAATATAGGAAATAATGTTTGGAAAAATATTGTGCAGAATTTGTGTGTGGTATATCAATATACTCCGTATGTGTTTAGATGATTACACACTTGGACTAGATGATCATGTGATTAACATATTCCTAAATCTGTATAGAGAGACCATTGATGCAACGTTTTTAAAAACTTCAGGGACCATTGGTATAATCTTCAAAGTTCAGAAAATCCATTCAATTTTTCAAGAATATAAGGGTAATGAATCTAATGATGCAAAAAATCATGCACAAACCTCTATTTTAATTAGGGTTACCATTGATACTTGCAGATTATCTTTTTAGACATTAAAATTAAAAGATGTGATTATAATATTCCCAATGGTGAGAGGAAACATTTTCTTCTAAAACATTAAAATTAAACGGTGTGTGATTATAATATTTACAAAGGTGTGTAAGGAAATATTTCTCACTAATCTCTTTTTACATTTTCCTTCCCATCTGCAACATCTTATTATCATCTTTTCCCTTGATTAACATTATCAGAGGTTTGATTTGTGGAATTTTTTTCCCAATGGACTCACGTTGGTGTAGAAAATGTCAAACTCTCTCTGTTAAAGAACATCCCATATTGGAAAAGTGTGAGGAAAAGAATCGAAATATAAGCTCTTGAGTTGAACTAACTAATATATTGGATTCAATCTTTTAATGTTGTTCAGTCCAAGTGTCTTATATCCAAATCCAATTATCTCTACACAATCTTAAATTCTATTATGGTATCGGAACAAGTTTTGGTCCACCTCGTTTGTCAAGGTATTCGTCTAGACGTTCATTCCTAGCGGCTCGTTTGTTTTTAGCCCAGTTGTCCGTATGAAGTATGTACCCAACGGCCTGTGGCCCATTTAACACGATCGCACATTGGAAAAGTATGAGGAAAAATAATCGGTATATAAGCTCTTGAGTTGAACTAACTAGTACCGGAGTAGATTGGATTCAATCTTTTAATGTGGATCAGTTCAAGTGTTTTATAACCAAATCCAATTATCTCTATCCAATCCTAAATTCTATTACTCTCTCCATGTTTTTTTATGCTCTTTGCATGACAATTTTTTTTAATAAAGCTAGGATAAGTCCAAATGCAACAAAAAAAATACGCAACAAATCGTATTTGCTTATTTCCAATTACAACTAATTTTTTAAAATTTATTCTCAATTCAAAGATATGAGAAGAATCCATATAACTTCATAAATGAAACAACAAACAAATCGAATGGTGAGCAATGGCTATCGGGCCTAGCGGATTACAAGGATCGGCCCAATATATTATTTTGGGCAACATTGTGGATCGGGCCCAGCGACTTAGTATTGTTTCAGCATTTGTACAGATTAGGTCGATGCGAGAGTCGTATGTGGAATTGGGCCTGATTAAATTAGCATAGGTGCAGTCAATCCTACATATCGTGAGCAATTGATGACTGACTCTTTTCTCACGATTGACACACGCTAGATCAACTGTGACGAGAACCCTGGGCACAATTGCATGTCATACACATCGTAAATAATATGTAGACTATAAGTATGTGTAAAATCTTCGTTTTAACTCAAACTGAATTAAACTAATGCAAGCTATTTTAAGATCTTATTTTCAAAAATTTATTATCATCCTTATTACTCCATCTGTACCAAAAAAGAATATCACAGTTACTATTTTTTCCGGTCTCAAAAAGAATATCACAGTTACTATTATCTCGATAACTTTTGTTTGTTTACTTCTTTTAGTTGATCATTTGATAAAATAAAATATTCTTGTCGCATCTTATTTTGTAAACTTTTGATATACTTTTAAACGATGTAATTTGTTTAATTCCTCTACAAACTTTTGAATAAAATAGTTTTAAAGAAGATAATATTTTAAACATCATTCCAAAATATGAAAACAATTTGAGAGGTAAGGAGTATCAAAAAAAATTTGTGCCTCTATAGATAGTAGGCTAAAACCCATTAACGACTATATTCTTTGTACAAGTTCAAAGATAACTAGATAAGATGTACCAATTCAAGTAGTATATTCCACGATAATGTATAAATGCTACTCCCTCCGTCCTAAAATTAACTTCTCATTTGACTTTTCACGGTCTCCAATACGACACTTTGACCATCAATATCTCAATTTTTATATAAATATATTTTATAAAAATTATATATTTCAAAACTATATTCCAAAATGAATCTAATCCTAATAAATTTATATGAAAATTCAATGTATTTTTTTCTTAATTTACGGTCAAAGTTTAAAAAATTTGACTGCAAAAGTCAAACTGAGAAATTAATTTTAGAACGGAGGGAGTAGTATGCTACATATATGTATATTCATATATATGTGGTTGGGGTATATATTTGCTTCCCACATCCTTTGAGATCACATACAAGACATAATTGAAATTTAATTTCCTAAACACTTGAGAACTTAATTGACACATCAATAATATTTCTATCCTTCATTCATACTCTCTTGTAAGCATCACCAGTTCCCATCTGAACAGCGCCGCCCTTACCTTCGGCGGCGGCGGATTGGGGGTAGTCGACGTCGGCCATGAACCTAGACCAGAACCAGTGCTCCTTCCAGACAACCGCCATCTCCTCGATGGGCACGTTCTTGGTCTCGGGGACGAACCAGTAGACGAAGACGGTCATGAGGACGACGAAGAAGGCGAAGAAGACGAAGAGGCCGAACTTGAGGCGGCAGAGGAGCATGAGGAAGAGCTGCGCCACCACGAAGGTGAAGATCATGTTCACCGACACCGTGATGCTCTGCGCCGCCGACCGGATCTCTAAGGGAAAGATCTCGCTCGGGACCAGCCACCCCAGTGGCCCCCACGACCACGCGAACCCCGCCACGTACGTGCATATGAATACCACCACCACCACGGCGTACCACTTCGGCAGGTCCCCTGGGTCCCCCTTCACCCCGAACTTCAACGCGATCAGGATCGCCACCGCCACCTGACAGATGAGCATCTGGAAGCCGCCCTCGAGGAACAGGAACCTCCGGCCGAGCTTATCGACGTAGTAAATGGAGACCATGGTGGCAAGAACGTTGACCCCGCCGGTGATGACGGAGGACATGAGGGCGGCGTCGTCCCCGAAGCCGATGGTGGTGAACAGCACCGGCGCGTAGAACATGATGACGTTGATCCCGGTGAGCTGCTGGAAGAAGGGGACGAGGACGGCCATGGTGAGCTGGGGGCGGTACTTCCTCTGGAGGAGGTTCCTCCAGGGGTTCTCGATGAGGCTGGAGGCCTCGCTGGCGGCGACCAGGTCGGAAAACTCCTCCTCCACGTCGTCCACCCCGCGGATCCGCCGCAGCTTGTCCCTGGCCTCCTCCCTGTTCCCGCGCTCGATCAACGAGTTGGGGGTCTCCGGGAGGAGGAGGGAGCCGAGGGTGATGATGAGGGCGGGGAGCATGGCGCCGCCCAGGCTGAGGCGCCAGCCCTGGTGGAGCTTGGCGAAGAAGTAGTTGAGGACGTTGGCCACCAGAATGCCCACTGTGATGGAGAGTTGGAACCCTATGTTGAGGGCTCCCCTGTACTTGTAGGGTGCCATTTCTGATAGGTACAGCGGCACTGCCTGCATTTGCAAAAACAAAAAAAAAAATAATCTATAAGTTCGAACAAAGTTTAACTATAATTTTTATTAGGAAAATTTGTACTAAATAGCACTAAAATATATGTCTTATTCTAATGTAGCACTTAAATTTTTTAATTCTCGAAATAGTACTTGAATAATGTCTAGTGGTGAGAACAATCTCCAGTGGCGGTGGACATATACTTGAACAATGGCCAGTAGATATTGAAATATTGTGGGCTCCGTAAGCATGTATAAATATAAATATTAATAATAAAACTGAAATATTTTAGACAGTGAAATATCAAATGAGAATAATATTTTCGAACAGATGGAAAAATTGTTATAGGAGGAATCTAATATTTTTAAAATTAATTTGTTATGATGGAAATTTCAAAAGTTATCGGGATGCTAAATGAAAATGTCGATTCCTAATTAAGTCTATAAAAAAATTAAGAAGTTGGAAACGCAAAGTATAATCGAAAATGCAATAAGCCAAAAGAAGTATATGGAACAGCAGGTCAATGGTAATTACTAGGGACCGAACACGCGTTGTTGTCTCGCTGGGTGGTAGAATTTTCCATTCCCGTCTAAGTCAAGGAAAGAGTAATCAACTTGCAAAATTACACCCAATTAATAATCTGTCCGTCTCACAAAATCTTTTTGATCTTGATTTTTATAAAATTTAAAGATAATATTTTATAATAATTATTTTTAAAAATATTCTTGGATGTGATGAATATTTTTCGGTGTGTTTCAAATATTGGTTCTCTTAAAAAAAATGTACAAGTAATATTTTTATCGATGTAGAGATGATGTGATGGGAGGCATATGTGCATTAAAATTAAAGTGGTAGGGTGTATTCATAAGATTTTGGAACCCCAAAAATAGGAACATCATTTATCACGAAACTTAAGTCAAGTTCAGATCTGAACTACAAGCCCACGACGTACGGAGTAACAAACTTAAAGAAAAAAAACACTTAAAAAAGATACTCCGTATATGCTAGGTGAATCTCATTTTGTGACAACATATTTGTCAATAATCATGCAAATAATAATTAGTACGGAGTAATTTTTATTTAAAAAAATAATTAGTAATTTATCTAGCTGGGTGTTTGTAAAAAAATTATGAAGTGAACCTTTTTATAAAGGAGACATTTGCCTCATTGGGCGAGGAACTTACCAGTACAGTTAACCCGGAGTAACACTAATCCTATCATTGAAAAATATGTTGTTTTGTAGCGACAAATCACGCCATTTTTGTTGACTAACTTTAAGAAAAAATGGAAACACTCAATCTACCCTAAAAAGACTTATCACTTTGATTTTAAGGAAAAAAGTACTCATTTTATTATAATACGGAGTATATCATTTGTTCATATGGAGTATTAAAACTGTTTTTGTCCTATCCATTTATAATTTAATCGGTCAAATTAAATCACTTTTCTTTACAAATTAAAAAAAATCGGATCACCTTTTTATTTTGAATAATTTTTTATCCAATCTTTGAATATGCACAGAGTACTACTTTTATTTTAGATTTTTCAACAATCTTCAAATAAATTCAACTGAAATAACTATGGTCAAGTATCATAAATCAAATACGACAATATAGAGAGAGATAAGGGAAGTAGTTATTCGTTATCAAATTATCGCATTAATGACTTTGAAAAATCAAAGGTATAAAGATTTTTTTTTTGGAAAGCAAGATTTTGGTAAAAAGTGAATATACCTTCTAAAAATATACCCGGGCAATATATTTAAAAATAAATATAGTTATGATAATTCTAAAAAAATCATTGTGAAGAACTTTCCTAAAAAAAATAAGGAAATTACCGTAAGTGGTGGGGAAATCGGATTAGTAAAAAAAGGCGTACCTGATTGGCAAATCCGATACCCAAACCGAGCAGAATACGGCCGACGATCAACATGCCGACATTCTGGGCAAGGCCGTTGATGAGAGCTCCGGCGCAGAAGAGAACGCCGCCGGACATCATGGACAGTCTCCGGCCAAGCTTCCTGGTCACCGTCGACGCCACCAGGGAAGACAGCAGCGCCGCCAAGTACAAGGATGACGTGAACATCGTCAGGGTTTGACTGTCGAATTTGCAGTACTGGTTCGTCGACCGGTCGCTCTTCTTCTTCCGGTACACCGACGGGAAGAACCTCTCCAAGAACGTGTCCATTGACGTCACTCCTCCTGTTTTCCATTTTTTTTTTCAAAATTAAAACGAAATAAATACAAACCCCAAAAGATTAATGTTTTTTTTTATATTGAGGGGGAAAAAAAACGTACCGGAGATACCGATATCGTAACCGAAAATGAGGCCGCCCATGGCGGCGACGATGCAAGTAATGGTGACATAGAGAGTGAGGTTCCCGGGGTAGGCTTTTCCGTTGGGGCGGCCGACGACTCCTCCGCCAGCCATTGCTTAATTTCTTGATTGATCAATTGTATTATTAGCCGATAAAATATCTTAAATGAGATTATTTTTAGGGAAAGCAGATTAAGAAGCTTAATGGGGTAAAAGAAGGAAAAGAGAGAATGGAGAAGTGGAATTTGGAAGGGGGGGTGTTTCTTTTATAATGTGGATAGAAATTCAAAATTAAGCTGGATAATGGATGGAGTTGAATTGACTTCCCAAAGTCCCCACGATTCTTGAAAAAGAAAAAAAAATCTCCATTATTTATTTCCAAAATAATTTCTCTCGTGCCTTTCTATTTTATTGAGTGGGCATGATGCCCTTCAACTACTTCCAAATTTAGTTTCTCATTTGATTTTTTTAAATCGAATTTTGTATATTTTGATTTCGATATGCAAAAGAAATAAATAAATTATGTTACTATATAAATACAATACAGAGTATCATATCTATAGATTCTTTTTTGTACCGAATTTTGAAATATTAAAATTTTATAAAATATACCTACGTATAAATAACGATATTAATGGTCAAAGCGTTCCATTTGAAAATGTGAAAAGTCAAATAAAAAATTAAATGTGGATGGAGAGAGTAATAAGTAATGACTATGTTCTTCATGCTTATAATATAATAATCTCGATCACTCATCATTTACAAAATTGCTATGTCTTTATATTTGTTTTTTATAAAAAAAATATTTCTTTGATCAAGGGTCAAACGGTCAACGCCATGTATTTGTTAATTTAGGCTCATGATATGTTTTTAAGGTTATATCTTAAGACTAATACACCCTCATTAATTTGTTTATGCATTTTGAATTAGTTTACGTTATGATGTTTGAGAAAAATTATTTTTAAATTAATCTATTTTCAAATTAGTAAGGTTCCTATTTACGAAAATCATCAGTTAAGGACAGTTCCAAATGATTCCAGTTTTGAACCAATTGTGAATTTTTTTTTAATATGTTCAAAAAGTTATATAATTACTTCCAAAATAAAAAAATTTCTTGATACGAAATATTTTGAACCAACCTTGAGTGAATTAAAAATATGCATTAAAAACTAAAACAGTACCGGTACCGAATATTAAGATCAAGAATCGGAACCTTTACCCGGCAATTCTGATCCTAGTGATTCTACTATCATAGTAGTTCTTGTTCCAATGCCGGTTGAAAACCGAAATCTTGTTCAGGTCTATTAATCACGATTCACGTGTATTCACATGGTTGAACAAATACTCGTACGTGTATTTGTAAATTGAAAAGTACCCACATGTGTAGTTCAATTGGTTCAAGATGTCCAACTCATTGATCTTAAGATCGAATCCTAACAACGACAATGTGATACAAAGTTTTACTCTTTGTATTAATTCTTTGTGCGAATTGGGCACATCATGAGTCTAATTTCTTTTTTATATTAATAGGCTAAGATCTATAAAATGATTTTCTATTTTGAAAAAAGACTAATTTTTTTATATTATTAATGCATTAAGATTCATAAAATGAATATTCAACTTAAGATTATGTACAAATTTGTGCTTGAGGAACATTAAAGTATAATACTCCCTCCGTTCTCAAAAACACTTCCTCTTTCATTTTTTCCACTTCCAACAAAACACTTCCCCTTTCTATTAAAAAACCACTTTTACCCTTACTTTTTCATACCCTACTTATCACATAATACTTTTTCTCTAATAATCTATCCATCACATCTTACTTTTATCCATCACATCAAGGACAAAATTGAAAATCAACTATAATTTAATAATTCCTTATTTTTGCCTCCAAATCAAATGGGAAATGTTTTTCCAAACGGAGGGAGTAATTATTATAAACACGGGTGTAGCGTGTGATACGCGGTTGCACACTTAAGTCTAAAGTAGGGGGTATAATTTCCAATTTTCCACTCTCTTTCGTCTCCTTATTTATTACTCGTATATTCGTACATAAAGTGAAAATATATTCCATCTGTCTCATATAATATTTCTCCTTTATTTTTTAATTTTATCCGTAAAAAATCTTTTTCATTTCTATAAAAATGTTGCTTTTATACTCACTAATATTTACGTAGTAACTTTTATATCACATCATATTCATTCACAACCCCGGAATATATATTATACTATCATTACATCTTACTTTTACTTATCACACCGTTTAAATCTTTTAAAAATCAAAAAATCAGAGAGTTTTTATGGGAATAGAGAGTATAATTATAAACTCCGTTAATAATGCTCATTTTAAAAAAAGTAAAATAAAATGAGAGAAGAAGCAATTTTGTAAAGAATAATTGCTAGAGTCAAAAACAATTTGGACATTAACTACACAAATTTATTATTTTTGTATTTCTAATTAATTTGGACAGAGAGAGTATTAAAAGACCTAAATAATCAATAAAAAGTGTGTTTTTTTTTCAAAAACAATTGGAGCAGGAATTACTGGGTGGATTTGCAGGTAGGTCGGTCGTAGCTGTCTCCTTTTGAATATCTTTATTTTCTTTTTAGGGAAGTATTTTCTGGTTAGCTGTCGAACTCTTTATCATTACAAACCAGATGGACTTTTCCGTAATAATATCTCTAGTCCCATAAAATAAAATAAATACCGTAAATAAAAACGGAGAGTAATAATATCCGTAAAAATGAGTATGGTGCGACGCGTCATCAACCGGAGGCCCCAACTGATAACAGTGTTACATTTACGGCAATTCAATTTTGACTCTTATCTTTTTCATACACATCTTTTTTTTAAAGAAGTTTTCGGAGCAGAAGGAATGGTGATGCAGAAAAGAAATGTCTTAACCAACATAGTGAAAAGTCACATGAACACGTCCAAAGTTATTGCAAGCTCAGCTAACAGGTGGCAATGCAAGCATGATGATTTGGTCTACGTGTATGTGTGTAAATATCAAAATACTTTTATTATTATTGCTACTAGTCTACTGCTACCTCCGTTTCTCAAAAGAGTTCCTCTTTTGACTTTGAGGAAAAATAAGGAAGTGTTAAATTGTAGTTGACTTTCCAATTTTGCCCTTGATGTGATGGGTAAAAGTAAGATGTGATAGTTTAGTTGTTAGTGAAAAAGTATGATGTGATAGGTAGGGTATGAAAAAGTAGGGGTAAAAGTAATTTTTTAATAGAAAGGGGAAGTGTTTTAAGAAATATAAAAAAAATGAAAGAGGAAGGGTTTTAAGAAACGGATGGAGTATTATTGTGATAGAATTTAGGATGGGGTATGGATAACTGGATTGAGTAATAAGACACTTGGGTTGAACCACATTAAAAGATTGAATCCAATCGATTAGTTAGTTCAACTCAAGAGCTTATATACCGATTAATTTCCTCACATTTTTCCGATGTGGGATGCTCTTTAACATTCCCCCTCAAGTGGACAACCGGGCCATTTTGAATCTAACCGGTTGACCAATTGCAAATGAACTCCCATTCCTTTGACTTTTTTTTGAGCGCCAACACCTAAAGGACCACGAGCCGCTGGGTATGGACTTCCAGACGAGCAATCGTGTTAAACGGGCCACAGGCCGTTGGGTACATACTCCATACGGACAACTGGGCTAAAGACTAACGGGCCGCTAGGAATGAACATCTAGACGGACACCTTGACAAACGAGGTGGGCCAAAACTGGCTCTGATACCATGATAGAATTTAGGATGGGGTATGGATAACTGGATTGGGTAATAAGACACTTGGGTTTAACCACATTAAAAGATTGAATCCAATTGATTAGTTAGTTCAACTCAAGAACTTATATACCGATTAATTTCCTCACATTTTTCCGATGTGGGATGCTCTTTAACATATTGTAACTCCTAGATTTTACAATTTATTTTATTTAAAAATTAGTATAGAAATAGAAAAATAAATTTTACATATATATTTAAAAAATACATCAAAAATTTTACAAAATAAAAGGTGACAAAAATATTTTTCTTTCATCAAATAGTTTATGAAATCACATAAATAAACAAAGTTTTCTATTTGCATAGTACAAAATAAAAAGCTTAAAATATATTTAATTTATCAAAAAAATTAAAAATATATATTTTTATTCGGCTCTAAGTATTTGAGGCCGGTCTGGAATTTTCCTTACTCATCATCATATTATTACTCACTCTCAACCTTCCAATACGCTCAATATGTTCGATTTAATTTTGCTTTATAAGTTGCCTGTAATTTAATTAATTATTATGGCCAACATATATGCCGTTCATATTTAATTAAAATATTTAATTTTTCCATTCTACAAAACATACCTCTATTCTACTTTTGAAAAAAATACCCCTATTTTTGCAACGTTATTTCCTTAATTTTAAAAAAATTATATATACATCCATTTATTTAGAAAAATATATTAATATTTTATTGAATGCTAGTCGTTACCAAGTAGTCCCCATAACCCATAATAACTTAATAAGGCGTAGTCAACCGTTACGGGCCGGCCGGCCACTTTTCTATGTAATAAGTTGACTTCAAACATTTCATATACTTATTCAAACATTTCATATATTCACTCGCACGGATTGAATATTCACACAAACTAATTATACCCTACAAAAAAGATCATAAATAAATAAATAAAAGCTAAGGATGAATATTCTCCCATTTTAAGAAAAAGAATTTTCAATTTAGAGGTGCGTTGGTCATTGGATTTAAGGTATTCACACTATTTATCCATTTCGGATATAATTTGCATATAACTTCCATTAAGCAAAATTGTCATGCTATTGGATAAGTATGGACTATACTAAATTCCATGAGGAAAAAAATATTAAAGTACGTTACACTTTTTTCTTGACGGGAATACGTTACAAAATTTGCTTCATACTAGGAAATCTAGCTAACTACGTAGGTAGGATAATATTGTTATAGAATAAATTGAGGGGTACACCAAAATAGGGTACTCTATTTGTACACCAAACAAGCAGAGATAAACACAGGCAATTAGTGTTTGTGGATCACAGAGACTAAGTGTATGTGTACAAAAGAGGTACCACATTTTGGTGTACACCTAGCATGCCTCATTGTTATAATATGCTCAGCATTTGGCTTTATCAAATTTAAAAGAAGTGTTTAAAAATTTATCACTCTCCATAGTAAAAAAAAATTATCACATTTTGATCGTTTTGGTCAAAATATGTAGTGCTTCCTTCATAAATTGGGAAATAAGTATATTTGATTATACGGATCGGAGTAATATAAATTTAGTAAAATAGGGTTCATTTTAATATATCAAATTTTTATAATATTTAATTATTTAAATTAAACTTATATTATGGTCAAAGTGTCTCATAATTTGACCAGAAAAGTCAAAATGTTATATGTTTTAGAATGGAATGAGAATTATTTTTTTACAAGATCACAATTCGCAACTGAAATTAAATATTATGAATGACATATTTTAATAAAAGAAAGATGGAAAAGGATAAAACAAATTATTATACTCCGTAGTAGAATAGACAAACTATATTTCCTCAATCTCAAAAACTTTTTCTTCTTCTTTTTTATTATCTCATAAAATCTCCTTTACTTTTCTATTAAAAATCACTTTTACTTATATTAATTCTTAACATATCTATCACATCATAATTTGTTTACTAATAGTCTTCGTATCATATCTTATTTTACTCATCACATCATAATTATTTTAGGAAAGTCAATACAAAAATATTTCTTCCTTAAATTTTTTAAAAATAAAAATGAGAGTATATATATGAGATGATGAAAGTATGCATTGTATGTGACCTCAGAATCCAGTATATGGTGAATCTTGTGCATGCATTAATTGACCAACCGGCCCTAGTCTAAACTAGGTATTTGTATATGTAAAACCATTTTGCAAATTACGTAGTACTACCTTAAAAATTCAACAAAACAAGTAATGACAAAAATAAGTTCTTTTATCATATAGGTACGGAAAAAGGGAAATTTACTTAAATATGATTAAAACATAATGACTTTCTCAATATATGATCATATGTTTTGATTTTCCAATGTAGGATCATTAGTCATTATCCATTAGTCATTATTCAATTAAATGTCTACCATTACTGGACATTATTCTTCTCACTAGACATTATTAAATCCTATTTAAAGAATAAAAAAGTTTAAATCTTACATTGGAAAATGACTTATATTTTAGTCCTATTTAGTACAAATTTTTTTTCTAGGAAAAAACATAATAAATAAAAGTTTTTGTGAAGTTGGAATAATACTTTAATAAGAAAGTGATCAAATCCATGCGGAACATGGCCTCATTGGATGAGGTGGTTTTGGTTTCAAATCTTTGATGTTCAAAAATTAACCTGGATTGTATTCTTTGACTTCTCAATCAAAACAGAATTATTACTTCAATATGCCACACATCAAATAAAATTTTTCTTAACATGTCCATTATCACAATTTTAATTTTGTACAGAAACTTGAAACAATTGAAATGTAACTTAAAAAGAGTATTTTGATTAAACGAACAATTAAAACTACATTGTTAAACTTTCAGTTTTTTCGCTTCACCAAATTATTGATATTTTAAGGGAAAAGGACCAAACTATGAGTAAATCATATGCTATATCCTTAAAGTAAGAGTTGAAAATTAAAATCCCTAAAGTAGGAGTAATTAAATCAATTAATTTAATTAATCTTCTAATGCACTCCCTTCTCGCTGATTTCATTCTCAACTATTGGCAGTATTATTGTGTTTGAGTTATCATAGTGATTGAAGATTTTTTTATACTTGTCAACCAACAATCCAGCATAAAAATGTGCAATGCCCAATTGATCGGAAAAAAGTTGCATCTTAAAAGCCATAAACATTACCATTAAAAAAGCAGCCATAGAGGGGAGGATGCACACTAATTGCATATTTATTTCAGCTCCTCAAATATATTCTAAACAAAAAAATATTTAAATTACATAGTACATTTTGTACAATTATGTCGAGGCTGCTGCCGGCACCCCATCCGCTGCCGATGATGCCACCGCCCGAGCTGTGTGATGTCATTACTTGCTGCTGCCATCTCCATTTGTCGGTAGGCCTAGTTTGGTCCTTAACCCAATCACTCCTTTTTTGCTCCTAGTTTAGCCGCTTAATTGTGCCATGCTACCACTTGCGACGTCGGCACCCCAACTGCCACTGAAGATGCTGCCGCGCTGCCAGTGTTGCCAGAAGTTGCCACCGCGATCTCCATTTCCTAGTACTGTCGTCATCACTGTGTTTTGCCATCGTCAAGTTGGAACCAACATGGTGTGCCTTTGTCACTCCCACAATGCCATGGTGCCATTGTCAAGATAAAAGTTTTTAAATCCAATGTCAATCAAAGCCACAATGTCAAAGATGACAATGTATAGTGGCAAACATGCCAATGCATAAGGCTGAACATGTAAATGTATAATGTCAAACAGAAAGTGAAAATGTTAAGGTTGCTATCAATAATCAAAGTCCAAAAAAAGGTAAAAAAAAGTGACTAAAAAGGGTTTTTGGAAGGGGAATTTCGTCGAATACCTTTTGGGCCTCAAACACATCGAAACATATCGGAGAAAAGAGGCATTTCCCTACTAGCGTGAACAACATAGAAGAGATTTTGACATACAGAGAATGAAAAACACAGAGAAAATTGATAGCCACAGCTTCTTCAACAATAATAAAACCCCAAACATTAAACTCAATTCAAAAGTTATTTGCGAATGGAAGGAAAAGGAATGGCAACGAGGGGGAGGGGGAGATGACGGAAGGAATCAGTGATGATTGTGGCAGAGGGTCGACTACAATGGTAGCTATGAAAGCAGATGTGCTGGTACAGAGAAAAGGATGAGAGATAAATGTTGAGATAATTTTTTTGCGGTCAAGAATAATTGATCGAGGCATATGACACGCATTACTTATTTAATTACTCTTATTTAGGGGAGTTTAAGTTTGAACTCCTATTATGAGGGGGTTTTCTTATATTTTACTCCTATTTAGGGGGTTTTCTTATATTTTAACGAGTTAATATAATACTAGACCCAAGTCCACATGGAGAAATAGAAAGGGCCGAGCCAGCAGGCCCAATACTACAAGGCAGCCATATAAATATAATTTGTGAAATCTGCTTTTGTCCGTTTTGTAAGAAATTAGCCCAGCCCATTATTAGTTGAATCTAGGCTTGTAATAACTTTTATTTGCATTTTCATTGGTTGTTTCAAAAAATGATACTCCGGTACTTCGGATTATCATCATTTATTCGATATTCCGTCGGTACCTTGTACTATATTCTTATATAATATTACAGTATCTCGATAATTCTTATTTCTTTTCATGTTTTCATTGATCATTTAATAAAATAAAATATTATTTTTATCTCTTGTTTTGTAAAACTTTTAATGCAGTTTTTAAATATAAATTATTTATATTTTACCAATTTGTAAATAAAATCATTTTAAAAATCATAACATTTTGCATGTTGATCAAAAAGAAAATTCTTTTATTTTTAATTATGTAAATTATAAATTTAATTTTTATGCAAATTTGTCAATAGAACAAGCCTAAAATAGATAATACCTCAAAGATATTGTCAAAACAAAGCGGTAATTAAGACTTCAGATTATTCATATAGTTCACCATGGGGTATTATAGTAGAGAATGATTGAAAATTATAAATGGCAACAGTATATAAAATTTAAACAGTTTTACATATAAATAAATGCAATGGTCTATTGTTCCCCATCCCAAATCTTTATCAAAGTTCCAACATCTCAAACTCTCCCGGGAATCAAAAACCCCTTCAAATCTCAACCCTTTCCACCACCACTTCATCTGAGACCACCCATACCACATCTCCTCCCTCATCCAGAAGACCAGAACGATTCCCCCCACCCCCACCCCTACCCCCCACCCCTTATAATTAAAGACCAGTCTTGTTCAAGGACTTCAAGGAGAATCCTCATGGGGTGGTTGGTTAAGGGAATTCAAAAACCAGCCAGCCTCTCTGTCCCCCCTATGGACAAGGCAATGAATGGTATGACCCTTTGGATAGGAATAGGACAAACATCTTTCTCAATTCTCAAAGGGTGAGAACGAAAGACGGGGCGTCCCTCCGCCTCCCGGCGACCGACCGGTACACGTAGACCTTGTCCGCCTGGACGCCGTCGTCCCCGTCCTCCTCCCTTATCACCTCAACGTTCAGCCTCGGCATCTCCCTCGCGAGCACCCGGCACCCGTTCACGGTCACGTTGCACGCCGACATCCACAGCGACCTCATCGACTCGTACTTCTCGAGGCCCGAGAGCAGCGCCGCGTTCCCGAACGGGCAGTCCCGGATCTCGAGCTTCCGCAGCTTCGGGCAGCCCCCGAGGACGCACTGCATGCCCCAGTCGCTGCTCCCCGCGAACGCCACCGACAGCGTCTCGAGGCTCTTGGCGTGGGCCCCGATGTACTCGAACGTGAGGTCGGTCAGCAGCCCCGACACGGCGAGCCTCTGCAGCCTCTTGCACGACCTCACCACCGCCCCGAACGCCTCGTCCATCGGCTCCCCGGTCAGGTGGTCCCGCTGCCCGGGTTTCATGATGCAGAGGCGGAAGTGGGTGAAGTCCGGGCAGTTCCGGGCGACGGCCGCGACCGCCGCATTTGTCATCTGCATGCAGAAGTAGAGCACGTAATGGAGCTTCCGGCAGCCGCGGGAAACTGCGACGAACCCCTTCTCCGTCACCCCGTGAACGATCTCGAGATCGAATGGGGCAGCGGGGAAGACCCGGAGTTCTTCCAGCAATGGGCAGCTCTGCCCAACCGCCTCAAGTCCATTGTCTTCAACAGTATCAAGGACCTATATATGTATGCAATGGGGAACAAGTTCAAATCTCATCGCTATCTAGTTTTAAAAACTTCAGAATAAACTTACCCAGAGGCGGCGTAGATTAGGGCAATGCCGGAGAAGCTCAACGAACTCAGAGCTCTGAACAATGGCTTCACTGAGATTAAGGAAGGTGAGATGGGGGCATGCGGGATAGAGAACAGGGAGGTGGACGGGGGCGAGGTCCCACAAGCCGGAGAGCGTTTCCAGGCGCTTGCACCTTGCGAAGGCAGTTTCGAGGTCGGCGCACTGCTGGGGGTTGAGGTCCTGGTGGAAGGAGCCGATGCCGAGCTCGGACAGCTGCGGGGCCCGCGCCAGGAGGCAGTGCAGCTGCTGGAGGCTGACGCTCTTGTTCACCTTGAGAACCCTCAGCGACTTGCACCTGCCCACCAGCCTCTGCAGCTCCTCGAAGCTCACTTCGCTCCCCAGGCTGGCAAAGTTGAGGACTTCCAGGGACGAGAATTCCTCGGGGAAGCAGCTTAGCCAGCTACCCCCGAGATCCTCCATCCCATTCTCTTGAATGTCTAGCTCTGTCAACTTCCTGTCACACCCACAAATTACAACAAAAATTTGTTTCCGTACAACAACATACGCATTAAAATCTCGCAAAAAGTAGGATCTAGAAGATGTGCGTATGTCATGGCCTTTTTCGGGAATAAAATTTTCGATTAGCGTTAACGTTCTAAAATTTTAATGATGTAGATTAATACTGAAAACCCTAATGAAAAAGGCTGCCGTCATATAGCTTTTTTCAAAACGGCAAGACTAAACTCTAACGATGATTCTTCTCTTATCTTTTTCCTTTTTTTTTTGAGATGTCTTTCATTCATCTTTTTTTTTTCCTTTTATTTTTATACTAATCTTTGTATAAAATGAATTTTAAAAACTTGAAATTTTATTTCGTTTTGTTGGATGCAACAAATATTTTGAGATGGAGAAGATAACTTAAAAGACAAAGGAGTGGAGTTTTTATTGGATAGGGTATAACTATATTAGTTGGCAGGACAATTTGAGAGCAAAAGACTAAGATGTGTTTGAATTCAATTCAATGAACAGACCAATGAAATTGGCCATATGTGTGTGCCTAATTTTATTTTTTTGAATTGGAAAAAAAAAGTACTAAAGGACAAGCCATCCACTAACAGGTCAAACGTCCCATCCCCAGACACAGAGAGAGAAAAAAAAGGTAACATTGCATGTGCTTTCATGTACGGAATTGTGCATTATAAATAATTCTTGACGTGACACCTTTAAAAAAAAACTCGGTAGGTGGTTAATTAATTTCATTAATTAAAAAACTCTAATGATAAAGTGTTTTTCGAAATTAGTTCTCTGATAAATTTTAATTGCTTTTTTTCGATTTTTCAAGGCAAAGAAACCCAAACCAATCATAATGAAATCAAACATATGCAGCTTTGATGTTTAACTAAGGATTAAAGTTTAAATAATACTCCGTATTAATAATCATAATACTAGTAATAGTGATCATTTCTTCTTTCTGAGGCCCCCACTAACAGCTCTTTTTTCTGTAAAAACCAGAATAAAAAGCCACTTGGTTTAGGATGGATTATCATGTGAAATGGGATTTATCTGTTTCTTTTCATTTTAACTCATAACAAAAGAATATGCTAAAAAATCTCAACGTAGAATTTAAATTTTATGTAGAAATAATAATAACAATAATATGAACCTCTTTTTTGAATGGTAAGTTAATTGAAAACAATTACTGAATATAAAAAAAGCCCAAAAATGATGTTTAAATGGAAGATGTTTAACTGGATAAATTGAAAATAAACTCAAACTGAGTTAGGAGGTGTTTGGGATTGACTATGAAAACAATTCTCAGAAAAGATTTTGTTGCTCATTTTCTAAAAATTAAAACACATCCAAACGCCTCCTTAGTGAAAAGTGAAAAAAAAGAGAAAAAAGATTGGTCTTACTTGCAGTGTGTGACAATAGTTTTAATCCCATCAGTGCTAAACCCATCACAGCTAAGCAAAGAGAGCGCCTTAAATCCATGAAACGACGTCGCTAGAAACTCCAAGCTCTCGTCGGAAACCGTCATCCGCTTCAGCCGCAGCTCCTCCAGAAAAGGGTACGCTCTGGCGAAAACAACCAGCCAGGCGTGGATATCGGCGCCCCAGTTCTGCGGCACCAGATTGAAGTCGGAAAATCTGGGCTTCCCCTTCAGAGTCAGGCTCTTGATCCTCGGAAACCGCCGGACAACGATCTCCGGCGACACAGAGTAGCAGTTTCCGATAAAGACCTTGGTCCGGGACCAGCGCTCCGCGCTGTACCACTCCTTGCAGACCAGCGAAGCGGCGTTCCGGTCCTTGTGGGACCCAAGGAAGGATAGGATCTTTTCGAGGACTTCATCGGGGAACTGTGCTGACTCCGGCGAGTCCGCCGGCACCGCCGTGATCTTGACTCTTTTCGGCCATGGATCCATTCAATCCTGTTCTTCAAACAAATTTAATTAGCCCCAAATTCTTCACTCCCAGAACCCAGATCCATAAATCTCTACTGCAAATCTAGAAATGATTTTTTTTCACCAGATGCAGAAAAGATTCAACTTTACCATTCTAGAAAACAACATACATTAAAAATTGAAAGAAAATTCAGCAAAGAAGCCTAAATAATACGAGTATACAAACAATTAAGAAAAAACAAACCCCTAAAATATACAGTACTTTGTAATTCTTGAAACAGGCAAACAAACAACTCGAAAGAAGAGAAGAGATAGGTTTTGACTTTTGAATTTCACACCTCTGAATGGGTGAGAGGAGAGGAGAGGAGAGGGGAGGAGGCTGGAGAAGATGAGCCAAAGAGAGTTCCTGCCAGACACTATGGTGTTTATAGCAAAAGGGTCATTATGTTTTGTTTTATCTTTTTCTCAGTTTTTTTTTATAAGAAATGATGGGACTAATGATGACATATGTTAAGCTAATTAAAAAATATGTGCTGATCTTGAGATCCATAATTTAATTATCCAGAGTAATTTATTCGTATACTATGTGTATATTACGTATATTACATATTCATATATAATCCTCTTGTATGTATATACTCCCTCCGTCCAAAAAAGTCCGACACGTTTCGAAAAAACTGCGTTCTGTAAAATCTGTTACATTTCTATTAAAAAACTACTTTTACCTCTTACTTTTTCATACCCTACCTATCACATCATACCTTTTTTCTAATAATCTACCCATCACATCCTACTTTTACCCATTACATCAAGGATATTTTTGGAAAATCAACACCAAAATATCTCTCCCTTAATTTCCCAAAAAGTCAATATGTACCAATCTTTTTGGGACGGAGGGAGTATTATTCAAGTGATACACGTATAATAAGTACTCCGTATATTTTTTATTTCAAACGTACGGAGTATTTACTAATTTTATATGTATCGTGTACTAAAAGTCTTTAGAATTCTCCTCGACCTACTCCAAAACTCTGAGTTCAAAAGGTTAGATTCCAGACCAAACCTGTTTACTTGATTATTTTTCTTACAAAATGAATTTTTTTTAGCGCTCAATGCTTTAGAGACCGATAAAAAATATAAATGAGTTCTCATTACTTGTTACCACATTTTACCTAATCTTGTCTTATCCTACAAGGTCTACCGACATCTCCGACTTCCTTCAAGTAGGTGTTTAATTAGGGTTGTTCGTCGGTCCAATATAGGACCGAAGATCAAATTGAATAAAATCACATTTCTTAAACTCAATTTAACCTCTCCCAGAACCCAACCACCTCAACAAGGGCTTCCATGACAAAAAACGAGTATAGTCATAAAGCCCAATGTCATGAATACATATTTTTTTCCAATTTTCTTTAATCTTTAATTTAAATAAAAACATGTAGTTTTGCATTAAATAATGCTAAGTATTATGTTCTTTATTGATAAGATAAACAAATTTATATACAAATTAAATTTTAGAGTATAGGTAAATATGTAAAAAATTAGGGATTATATTTCAGTTACATACCCCTCTACTAATAGTCCAATCTCAATGTAGCCTTTCGATAAAGATTATCCAATATCGAATCGGTTTAACTTTTCACAAAAAATCAAAAATCAAGTGAGACTACCAGACATCCAAACCAAAACTGAACTGGTCTCTAGGACCACCTTGCTCATATCTTATTTGAGTTATTTCGGTCCTAATTTTTTCGCTCCCCACCCTTTTGACAGCTTTTTTTGGGAATAGTATTTTCAATTAAAGTTAGCGTTTTGGATAAAAATTTAATAATGTAAATTAAGATTTTCATTGGATAAGTTTTTTAAAACGATAATCTTAACTTGTAAGGCTAATGTCAAGTGGGAGGGACATTTGTATTTGGGGGAGTGGGGGTTTATTGGAGCACCCAATCCCACGTGATGACACGCGTACCAGCCAGCTCATCGACGGCGCACGTTAGCGGATGCGCCTCTGCTGCGGTAAAAGGGATGGTTCGTTGAATATGGGAAAGCGAGAACTAAAAAAAGGAGAGAATGGGAATTACTCTTTCTTTAAAAAGATGAATTTCATCATCCACATCCTCCGACAATCAATTGGATAGTTTAATCGGATCAAATTATCTAATTGCATTTATTTCGTACAATTCTTGCCTTTCCTCTTTACTTTTTTAAAATTTTTATACCTTCCCTATCAAAATAAAGTAAACTTCTAAATTTGTTTAATATATTTTATTTAAAAATTACTCCGTAGTATAAAAGCATAAATAAAATTAACATATTTAAAAAGTAAATTAAAAGTTATATAAACAAAAAGTGACAATAATTTTTTATTTAATCAAGTGGTCAATGAAAACACATAAATAAATAAAAATTGCCCACGATTTTTGAATAGTAAAGTGTGTAAAACATTTAGGGACGGAGGGAGTACTAATCTCTCTCGTTTTCCGGTTAGAAAAACAGAATTGAATGTTTTAAGAAATAAAAGAAGTTAGAAAAAACTGGTAGAGATTAGAAGAAATTAGAAAAACAAGGAGTTGATTGGAAGAAATATAATTAAACTAGAAGAAGTTAGAAAACTAGATGAATGTGTAAGAAACTGCGGGTCCATTTGGTATACGAAATTGACGGAATTGGAATTGAATCCAATGAATTCTACTAATTCCATAGAATTGAATTCTACCAATTCCAATTCATTTTTTGCACTATTAATTCCAAATACACGTAATTTTTGTGCTACCAAACACCATAATTGGAATTGAACTCTACAATTCCAATTTCATAATTTGAATTATGTATACCAAACGGGGCCTGAATGAACTTGAAAAAAACAGAAAAGACATAAAATTGATGTCAAATTACATGAAAGAGAAGTAGTTTTTCATTGAAGTCCTAGTCCATAGTTATTGTCATTATTGTTTGTTCTCCATCTAACGGACATCAAAATACATTACTTGGTATTAGATTGATGTCAAACCATATTTTTAGCCTTCAAATTAATACCAACATTATAAAAGATCAAAAAATATTTGTGAAAATGTACACACGATAGAAGGACCACATAAGTAATATTTAAATAAAGAGAACTAGGTATGAAAAACTCCTGTTATAAAGGACCTATTATCGAATTTACTCTTTATATTATACTCCCTCCGTCCACAAATAAACTTCTCATTTACTATTCACAGAGTCAAACTTTAATAACTTTGTTGGCCTATTTTCGTCACTCATTTGATAAAATAATAGTCATGTCACCTCTAGTTTTATAGATCTTTTGATATAGTTTTTTAATATGTAATTTTTATTTTTAAATTTTACACCATTTTCATATAAAATGATTTAAAAATAACTTCAGTCAAACATCGTAACGTGCAACGGAAAGCTTATTTGTGGACGGACAGAGTATATATCTAAATAATTACAAAAATGAATCAATACTAACGATGTTAAAATTACATTAGAAATTACAAAATTAACATGATTTATACGGAGTATTTTTTATCTAATTATCCAAAAAATTATTTAGATAAGCCAGATACACTAGTTATTTTTTATTCAAATTTTTTTTTTCAAATAATATTGTAATACAACCATATTTAGTTAAAAAAAAGTGTATCACACCATATCATAAGAATAACTAGAGTTTATTGCAACATATTGGAGTCTCTACAAAATAAGGGGTGACAAGAATATTTTATTTTATCAAATAATTAATGAAAAATAAATACAAATAAAAAATAGTTATCAAAAGGAGAGTGAAAATAAAATTGAAATCAAAATTGGGACGTAAAGAGTACCAATAACAAGCTTAAGGATAAATGATCTCTATAAGGTAAGATGAGTGTAGTTGGTTTGTATATGAATGTGATTAAGATTGATTTTGATGCTTGTAAATTTGTTATTGGTGTTAATTATATTTTTTGTGTTGTGTTTTAAAAAAGAATAACTAGAATTAAGGATCTACGCGAACAAGGATTTGATTTACTTTTATTTTTTAAAAATTTCATATTCTTTTTTTAAATTATGAAAAAAAATTATTCTAAAATAACGAGAGAAAAGAAAAAGGGCTATAATAAAAGACGCCAATTTATTCCTGTAAAAGTTATTCTAATTTTGTTTTTCACATGTCTAAAGAATATTATTTTTTTTCTTTTTAATCTTTCTTTATTTTATAAAAGTCAAATAAAGAATTTTTATACAACAGAGGTACTTTTTATTATACATCTGACATATGTACATTCAAACAATAAACTACATTTAATTTAATTTACACAATTATTATTTTTGGGTAAACTTATGTATGAACATTTCGTTGCGTATGCTTAGAACATGTAGGGTACGCACATTTAAAAATTATGCAATTCTTAATGAAAGAAAATAAAATGAGTGCAATTCTATTTTGGTCAAAATTTTAAAAAGTTGACTAGAACACATTTCAAAGAAATATAATTAATTTAATATTTTAGTATAATTAAAATTTATATTAATTTTTTAATAAATTGTAACATTAAATCAATTTAATTGTATTTTATTGAGGTAATAATAATAATAATAATAGTAATAGTAATAGTAATAATAATAATAATAATAATAATAATAATAATAATAACAACAACAACAACAATAACAACAACAACAACAATAACGAATTGAAAAAGCTTTCATTTGTTGAGGAATCGTGTGGAGTGCTTTAACAAAGAACAAGACCGATGGGGAATCACATGAAAAAACTGTCGACAAAAATTGTCATGAAATGTTGTCAATCCCTTGTTATTGCGGGCAATATTTTTTTTTCTGTCCTGGTATATGTTCTACCTTGTGCCAAGACGAAATAAAATAAAAGGCGTTGAAAAAATCTATAAAAATGAAATATAAGTAGTCATCAGAACTTGATTTTTATATGATAGAAAATAACTAGATAGTATTTTCTTAATTTTTGGCAAAAAAAAAAAAGAATAATTATTCTACAGTAGAGGAATTGAAGTAGTTCTTATAAATGGGAAATGGAGAGCTTGTTAAGTCACAAAGCTTATGAATGTAATTGGTGGATTCGCAAAAAGGTAGAACGCCTGCTCTTGGCGTCTCCACCCTCCAACTTAATAGAATAGTAAAAGCGCTCAAAAAAAAAATAATAGTAAAAGGATAAAAGAGTAAAAGGTTAAATCTCAATATAATGTTAGTTTATTCTTCAAAAACTTGTCCCAACACTAAATAAAATTCTCACACTATTGATGCCGGAGCTCTATTTAAGTCCTCTTCTCTTGTTTTAGAAAAGTTGGATGAAACTGGGAGGAGTTGAAAAAAAAGTAGAAGAATTAGAAAATGATGAAAGAATTTAAGTGTTAAAAAGTCACTTAATTAAATAATTTTCTAAATAAATATGAAAAAAATTCTAATTTTAAATAAAAAAGAATTCATCATTATCCGTGTTTGAAGAGGCATGTTATACATTTGAATACTCCGTATATAACAAGAAAGAGATGAAAAAAGTTAAAAATTAATCTTTCTAATCCAAAAAAAACATGACCTTAGAGGCCTTGGAATAAAAATCTCCTTAAGACCATATTCACAATTTTAGGGGAAGAAGATAAGATCAAACTCGGATCGGGGACAAAGCAGTGTAGGCCATGAGATCATCCACACCAGAAAATTGAAAACAAAATTTAAAAAAAAAAATAGAAAAAGAAAAAAGAGAAGGCATTGACAACACCACTCACCTAGAAAAGATTTCTCACTCTTGACTCTTCTATGCAATGTGGGCTATATATATATATACGGAGGATCACATTTACCCATTTGCCCCAATTAAGAGACGTTACCATTGAGTTGGTAAGCCCACTCTCACTGAAAAGGATCCTTATACGGATACTCCATACATTTTTTCTCACCAAACACTATTAATTCAGATTCCAAAACCCATATCATTTCTCTAAGTATTTAAAACTCACTATATCCATGGGTATTTAGCCGCGAACATAACATAGCACTTCGTACGCTAATCGACAACTTTTTGTAAATGGGCTGGTACTGTTTTAAATTTTAACGGGTCGTGCCTTCAGTTATCTGTATATTAACTTTTTGTAACACGTGTGATTAGTAATATTAGTTTTGATCCATACAAAATTCTAGATGGTATCAAAGCTGACATGGGTAAATCATAGTCTCATTACAATAGTTGTGTTTGTGCCTTAGAGTTGTTAAATGAGCCGATCAAGTCAGTTTCGAATTCTGTTATTTTTGGTTCAGGCTACGTGTTCGGATCTAGGTTGACCCAATGAGTTATAAGTTTTATTCTTTCAATACTTAAACTTCATACTATCACTTGTATTTTAAAATTTTAAAAATAAATTATCAAAGTATGTACTCCAAATATTAAAATTATTAATTTTTTTAATTTTTATTTTAAGTAATTTTTTTAGAGATACACACACAGTGACGGAGGATAACCCCACATCGACCTAGGGCTGAAGTCAGCTGGGCCTCTCGCCACGAGGAAGAGCGCCGAGCTCGGCCGGGACCGTACGCGCTCGGCCTGCGAACTCGGCTCGGGCCTCCTGAGCTCGGCTCGGTTGCATGACAGCGACGAGGAGATAGTGACCGCGATAGGGACCTGGCAATAGCGATGGGATGAAAGGGACAGGTGACGTCTGCTAAGCGACGAACCTCGATCAAAGGGCTTAGACCAATTGTATTGTATACCCTATAAAAGCCTGAGACCCCTCATTGTAAAGGATCCGAAATTTGAGTGAATATGCTCCTACTTTGCATTCTTCCTCTCTAAACTTCATATAATTTAATATCTTCGGGTCGGGGTGGAGTGAGGAGGTTTACCGGAGGGTTAGGGGGGATAGAAACCGTCAATTTTACGAACGAGACACCGGAGCGCTCCCGGGTCATCCCATGACATTGTCGACCGGCAATATCGTGGGAACCTTGGTGTTAATTTAATTGTGTTTCCTTTAATTTGCCTTTTTATAGGACGGAGGGAGTATATATTAATAATCTATATGTTAAGACAAATTAAACAAGATCACACATGACTATATTTAGGCTTACACATTGAGAGAATTTGATGAGTCAAAGTGATTAGATGAACAGTTCCAATTTCCAAAAGTCAAAATTGGACGAATACTCTGAGACGGAGAGAGTATAATTTTTATTATGGAATTCTTTAATTTGTTTTGAAATTAATAAATGGTACCCAGTATTATATTCCATAAAAAATAAATAAGTGTAATATATTGCATCAGTTAATAATTCCTTTGAGAATATATTCCAAAAAGTAGTGAGAAAATCAATAATGCGAGAATATTTTTTTAAGTTTGGGCTTGGCGTAATGGACTTAGATGAATCACTGTTTGATTTGATATTTACTCCATTTTTAGTTTGAGTTTGAAGCGATGATGGGAAACGGCCTTAATGGTGATAGACAATGCATAAAAGTCACTCATCACAGGACTGCGATGCTATCGTCACATGTCTATAGGAGAAACCACCTTTGGCTACAACAAAATTTCATGGGAGTTCGATGTTATCCTATGACATTCAAATCTGCATTATATATGAAGTAATAATTTACTCCCTCCGTCCCTAAATATTTGCCACACTTGTATTTCCGAGGCAAAATATCAAGTTTTTTCAATTCATTTTATTTACATATTGGTATAGAAATAAAAAATAAAATTTACATATCAAAAAACTACATGAAAAGTTCTTCGAAATAAGAGGTGTCAAGAATATTTTATTTTATCAAATAACCAATGAAAACGTAGAAATAAACAAAAGTTCTCGCAACGCCGAAAAAGCAAACGTTGCAAATATTTCGGAACGGAGGGAGTATTATTCTTTTATAAGTTTACATGTATAACATTTTAAGACGGGAAGCTGCATGACGCAAAATCATATTTCGAACTAAATTATTCGATATGATACTCGTACAAGTTAAATTATTCTATAGAACTACCTCCGTCTTTGAGTATTTTGTCTCGTTTTGACTTTTACTGTAAATCATTTTAAATCCTTTTATTAGTATATCTAATACAACCTTTATCTAATTTGAATAAAAAAAATTACTCCATTTTTTATTGAGATTTAATCGGAAATCTCTTCATCACAAAACCCAACGGCTTTGGGAGAAAGGTCAATTTCGATCAAATTGTCCTCTTCCCCTACTTCCTCCTTCCACTCCAGTTTAATCTCTATCATCATCCCTTCTCTCTCCTCCTCCTCCTCCTCCCACCGGCCGGAACCCTCCCATTCTCCGGTATCCGATAAGTCCCCGTCCGACGACGAATAACCGTCGGAATCCGTTTCCGGATAGCACCGACCCACATCACATCTTCCGAGCAAAACGTCGTCGTAGCAGCATTCCTCCTCGTCGATCGCCGCCAGCGGAGATCTCACGTCCCACTCCACGAAAGGATCTTCCCCGCGAATCGGGTCCGGGCGAGAATCGCGCGGATTTAGGAGTGACGAAGACGGTCGGGCGGCAGAACTAACCCGCGGACCCGGCTCGATTTTGTCGGGCCGGGCGGTTACCCGAGACGCAGCGAGCCGGCGGAGGCAGAGGAAGAGGGCGGCGTTGGAAAGGAGGAGGAGGAGCGGGGAGAGGAAGGGTCCCCGGAGAGGAGAGGGGGAGTAGAGGAAGACGAGAACGGAAAGAGCGACAATTGCGGAGAACAGAGCCATGAATGATGATAGATCAGAGTTGTTTTCATTGATTTAGTTTTGAGATCAATAAATAAGTAGTCTGTAAATTGGGTGATTTGGGATTTCTTGGATCAAAATCATCCCAAAGTATCCAATGTGAGTAGTGTTGTGTTGTGTGTGTGTGTGTGTCTTTTCGGTGTGGACAAATGGGATTTGTGTTTGATCTTGTACTCAAATAATGATGCTTTTCAAATAATGATGATTTGCAAGAAAACAATTAGGAGATAATGGCATGGCATGGCCTCAGACATTCAGATACATTATTTGTGCTGTATTTTGTCATATAATGGTATGGTCTTGTTTATGGTGCTCTACGTATAAACGTTATTTTGCAAGTGATTCATGTGACATTAAGATCAATAGAATTAGATGACTCTAAACTTTTATGATACTTCGTTCGAAAAATTGATTGTTCTTATGCTCTTCAACTCTCATGTACCCCATCCTCCTCTTCATTGATAGATTACAGTGACTGACTATATCTAATCCATAAAGGGAGGAAAAAAGTTTAGTAGAGTATGAATTACTTCCTCCGTTTCACAAAAAAGTTCCTATTTCGACCATAAATTGGTCAAACTGTTGCACACTTTGACCATAAATCAAATATAATCTAAATAAAGAAATGCTAAAAAAAATTAGAGATATCAAAACTAGATCCTAATATGAATTCAATTATATAAAATTTATTTCATAATTTGATATACCTTTCTCACAATTTGTAGTCAAAACGTGTAAATATTTGACTAAGTACTATTCAAAATGGGATCTTTTTTGTGGGACGGAGGGAGTATTAATTTTTTGAATTAAGTATCATAGGTGTCCTGATCACTATGACATTAAAATTTAATGTCGCATGAACCGGGCCGTTATACAATAGGTGTGCTCTTGATTATTCGATGGGGGGGGGACATTTAGTTCATTCATAATTCGATTTAAAGTCTCATTTCATTAGATTGCACCTCTCAAGTTTTATTTAATTCAAGTCTAATCGATTATGGACCCAACTTGGTCTTGGTTTGATTTTGCTTGGGACGTCTCTTGTTCCGGTTATAGATGGAATATCCAAATTTTAGAACATTTTGGATTCAACTTTGGATTAGTTAGTAAAGGTAACTAGTTGCTCAAACATCTAACAAAAAATAATTTGACCTGTTTTTGACATAAGACATGACTCGAGAATATTTGACTTTGAACAAGGAATTTTGTTGATCGAATCTGAAAACGATCGAACCCAAAACGACCCACAAACCCAGTGGGCCCACAAATACCCTAGGTACCTTATTTAATGATAGGAGAATGCTAGGAGTACCCCAAGTGGTGTACCCTATTTGTTCATCAAAGTTTTCACAGACACGCACAATGACAATATCTGTATATTGAGTGTTAGTGTGTCTGTAAATGCTTCGGCGTACAAATAGTGTACCCCACTCTGGAATAACCCTTAATGATAACACGCAGTAGCGGCGTGAATAAATGTGACAACAATCAAATAAGTGTGACTTGTACCAAAAAAATCAAATAATGTGACAAAATATTGAAATGTACTTATTCACATCCACCTACATTTTAAGCAAGTCAAATATTCTTAGAAGAGTAGGATATAAGAAGACAGAACGTACTAGAAAACAGCTGAACACATAACTTTTACTCCGCCTTCTATTGATATTCTTCTGTCCTTTTTTATCTCTTATATTGTTCTTCTACTTAATGTAGCATTGGCTTGACTCCCCTGAACCCACTTCCTTAAACTGGCCTTGCGGTAGTTTAAATCAGTAGTACCTGAAAGGAGGTCGAATTTCCGGTGGTATCCACCCAGGAGGTTGCATATATGGATAATCAATGTTTCCTCTAGGTTGCATTGGAGGGGACAATGGATCATAATAGCCATATCCTACTCCTCTGGGTTGCTGCATACTGCTCGGAAAATTGCTTGACGATAATAATGGTCTTGAATAGTCTGGAGTCCCATAAGGAGGAGGGCCTAGTGGTAAAATTACAAGACACGAGCTAAATGGGTTAGTAATAAAGGTAACATGATAGCAATATTAGGATTTGGAATTCATCACATGATGTACCCTACCATATTGAGCTGCAGGGTTCATGTACATTGCTGGTTCTGGTGGAAGATATGTCCTCCCATGATGAGAATAAGAAGGGTTTGGGTAATGGGAGGCCATGTTGTATGTGGATGAGAACTGAAGAGAATGGGAATTGTATGTTTCTACTCCCAAACCTGGACTACCTGTGCATTATTATGAACACAGTTAACCGCACTTACTAAAGAAAGAATGGAAAATATTTTGTTAGAATAGTTTTTTCAGAGTATAGACATGAAAGGGACAGGAAGAAAACCTTGTGGGAGGCCAAGAGTTTGCAATGGTTGACCACTATATGATTGGACATGTGAAGAGTTTGCAAAAGAAGATGGCAATGGTGATCCTGTTTTTGATCTTACACTTGCTTTCATCTCATCCAAACACCTCTGAGACTCTGATCTCCCCAGCTCTGGAAAAAGAACCTTCAAGCACCGCCATATCTCTCAAAACATAAGATCACCTGTGGCTGAGAGCATAGGAAATTGTATCTATTGCACAGCCTTTTACCTGATCAAAGTGCTCATCTGTGTGTGGCATGTCTCTGCTCATCGGTAAAGAGAAGTTTGCTGCAAAAGTAAAAATCGCATCAAATCGATACAACTATAAGTATATAAGACAGCCAGTTCATTTACATTATTATCCATAGCAATACCTAACATTTCATTTACTGCTTCATCAGGAACTTCCTTCCCCATTTCTTTGAATCGTTTATCAGCACGAAATTTGAGCTCATGTGGTGTTGGAAAAATCACAACAGCAATCTAATGAAATAACACATCACCGGTATAACAAAAGTTAAGAATACTCCTGTTCAAAAACCCCTGCCTCATCGCAAGGAAAAAAATCTATGTATATTACTGAAAGGAATTAGAGAAGTAGGCCCACCTTTTTATAGTTCAAGAATGGCTTAAGTTTGCGCTTACGAGCACTCTTATACACATTGGTTTGGTCAAGTATAAAATTACGAGGCAGCTTTGAAGCCCTGGGTAGAAGAGTGTTGAATATCTGAGTAGCGCGATCCATTAGACATTCAAATCGCTGACCATAATTATGCTTGCGTAAAAGACCAGGCACCTATGAAAGACGTGGAAAAAAAACTTCAGTAAGGGCCAATGTGGATGGAAGGTTTTGGAGGACCAAGTCTATTTGTATGTATTTACTATTTATGGATGTGCGGACGCAGCCACACACGCACATTTGAGATTTTAAAAGTAATTGAAAGGTTAACATAACATTTGATAGTAAAATACTTCAATCACCTTTTATTCTTTTTCGGAAACATTCTTGACATCTTGTTATTGAAGTATAGACTCAACCCACCAAAACCCTCCATCCAAACATGCTTTTAAAGTTTGGCTTGTCTTTAAATTTCATCTTAATGTAAAAACCAATATTTAAAAACTACCTTCATTTGATCGAGGATTGTATTTGTCCCAAGAATGATATATCGCTTCTCAGGATGCCCGTTCATCCATTTCTCTGCCCAAGTACTCTTGCCTGAGGCAGGTAAACCAACCATCATTATAAGTTCACAATCATTAACATCTGAGAATGTTGGGCCCAACAATGCTTTTCCATCGTCTATAGCAGAAACCCATGGCTTATACCCTTCAACAGCGTCTAATCCATCATCCACGCTAAACTGTAAATTAACCACAACATTTTTAAGTAAAACATGAGGGAAAAATGCTGATTGCCACTTTAGATGCTGAATTGGATGATCCACAACATCAAGACTGGTCAGGTCTTCAAAATGTCTTGCCACTCCCAACCATTGCCCATTCTTTGCAAAGCCAATTGATGCAGGTTTAGTTTCAAGGTCAAGGCAGCAAACTATTCTGTCACCAACCCCAAAATTTTCACCATAGTCACAGAACCTTCCTGCAGCAGAAAACTTCCCAGTTCCCCCAAAACCAAAACTATGCAAGCTTTCACCAAGGCTGCCAACAGCATTATCTCCCCTTGAGACACCAACTCGGCACACATGTTGTTGGTCTAATGGGGTGTCTTCCATGGTTACGCGTTGATCAGAAATGATTTTGCATCCGAAGCAATACTTCCCTCCGGTTATTCCTACATTTGCTCGAGCACCAGACCAACAGTAAGCGAACCCATTTTCATGAAGTGCTGAGCCTTGCAGCCCGTTTAATCCAATATCAAAATCTGGGAAGAAGTAATTTCAATGTGTTATTTCAACAATAAGAAAAAGGCTTGAATCTTGTAAAAAATGTTTAATTTCAATATGTAGTGAACAGAATCACAGATATCAATATGTAGTTGGGGACTGGGGTATCAAACGAAATCTGACATTGAAAATAAAATAAGAATGGATTTGAATATAAATGTACAACAAATTCCATTAGTATCAAGCCTTTTGGGATGTCTGAAACCAAATTCATGCCGACTTGACCGAATGTGGACAATATCAAGCTAATCCAAAGTTTTAGTGGCACCTGGCCCAAACAAAGCAACATGTAGCTCACTACCGCGTAGAAAGGGGTTGTATTTTCGCACGCTTAGTTTAAGTAACTTATATATTTTTTTCCCATTCCAGATGAGGTCCAACTAATCACCTATCACCAATTTGGCCAAGCAGATAATCAAGAGGCTGAATTCCTAATATACCAAAGATGGTAGAAGTTCAGATTAGTTCGGAAAGCAACCGAAGGAATTGAGGTCTCATGAAAACATGTTGCTAGAACAAAGCACAGGGACCAGAGTACATAAGAATTAAAATACTGCTGAGCCGCGGGGATTGACACCTTAGCATTCAAGAACTCAAAACAGAGATATAAAGTGGATCACAAATGCAATCCCCAGCAAATAGAATCCTCAGACCACAAATAAACGAACTACGTTTTCATTCTCGCCCTATTGAATTGAAGCAAGCATGTCATCCTAAAATGACAACGATAATAATAAGAACAATACTTGCCTACGTCGCAGTCGGCCGGATTAAGGGCCACCCGTCGCAGAGGGCCGGTGGGAGGGGGAGATGGCTGGACATGGACGCCGGGAGCGTCCTGCTTGGCTTTTTTGGAACCTGACACGTCGTCCGTGCTCTGGAATTCGCGTTTGGAAGACGCCATTTTAGGGTTTGCTCCACTTCTGTATTCTGTGCTATCAATTCTATGAGGGAGACGGAAGAATGGAAGATATACAGAAAGGCGACGGGATTCGTTTCCCGATATTTTCGGGAAAGACGGTTTGCAAATTGCAACACACCGACTTCAGCTTTCACGGTGAACGCTGGGGGGGACCCACTGCAACGTGTATTCCTCGCATTGTTGCTACACACACGTATAGGGAGTGTATGCCGTGGACCTGTTTGGGCCCATTTGCTTAACGTTTTTGAAAATTTTGTAGACCAATATTTTGTGGACTTTAGGTCCAACTTAATTAATTGCAATGTAAATGAGTTTCATCATAATTTTGAGTTGAAAAATACTAGGGGTATACTACTTGATGTGCCCAAGTGTACATCTTTATCCCATCAATATACAATAATAAATGTAAATAAAAGAATTAGAGAGTGAATCAATATTTAATGACAGAATGGATGCTATACAAATAGAGTATACCAAATGGTGTATCCTTACTTTTGGTCAAATTGACATCTTTCAAACAATATGTAAAATATTATTATTTTAAATTGATTTTATTTACTAATTGGTAAGGATATAAAAATAGATATCACATATTTAAAAATTATATTACCTCCGTCTCACTCTCTTTGTCCACTTTTGACTTTTGGAACTGTTCATCTAAGCACTTTGACTCATCAAATTTTTTCTCAATGTGTAAGCCTAAATATAGTCATGTGTGATCTTGTTTGATTTCTCTTAACATATAGATTATTAATATATAATTTCTATAATTTTTTAATATATAAATTACAAGATAAAATGAATTAAAGAAGTGCATTGGATGGTGTGTCAAAAGGTAAGTGGACAAAGAGAGTATGACGGAGGGAGTATAAAAGGTTCTATAAATATTTGTTGATAAAGATATTTTTTATATAAAACATGTCATAGAAAATATATGCAAACAAAAATTATCAAAAATCCAAAAAGGTAATTAGGTTAGTGCTTCGTTTGGTACACGAAATTCAAGTTCTGAAATTGAAATTCGAGACTTTAAATATGTAGATTTGAAATTGTTAGTGCAAAACGGGTCATAATGTTTTAGGAATAACAATGTAAATTTTGGTTTGAATTAATCTTTTTTTTTCTTTCTAAAAGTAAGATTAAGGAGTGATTGTAAAGTTGACACTCCCTAGCAATGAACCATGATCTGCTTGTATCTCTTCAGCTAGAATTGGATAAATTTTCACACATTTGTAGGCAAAAGGGATCCAGACGGAGCCCATAGATAAATGGCCGTTCCTTCTTCTGCACTTGTGCTACCTTCCATTGCTTCTAGAACTGGAATTTCGCCTTCCCTTCCAACCTTACGTTTCACCAGACGAACCCGGCAAATATCCCTTTGTTCATCATCATCTCCCACGCCCATGGAAGAAGTGCCTTTGCAAGCCGAAGAATCTCGATCCAAATTCACTGATTTTCCGCACGTCTCCCCGGCGCACAGAGATCTGATGGCGGAACTCGTCTCCTCCGTCGAGACCCGACTCCGGCCCGATCTCCACCCGTGTACCCTCCCGCCCGATGTCCAATTCTATCAAAACCCTAATGGCTCTGCACTTGGCGCTCTCCATGTCCGGAAAGGCCTCCCCTCTTCCCCGGTAAATTCTACCTCACATTTACTTCTGATTTTTTTGCCATGTAAATCTGTCAACGAATTGGATTTGATGGAATTGCTAGTTTGATTGTTATATTGTTGTTCAACGAACTAAAGCAGAAGATTAAGCTTGTGATTGAAGCTTCAGAATAAGGATTTATACTCTTCAATAGGGCTTGATGATTATTGAGTATGTTACTAATACTGTTAGAGAGAAAAAAACACTGAATAGAAGTTAATGAATGATTTAACACTCAAATGTGCAACACAGATTGATTTCATAATAGGGAGTTGGATTCATGGCAGCAAGTTGCCGCCAGGGGGAGTGGATCTGAACATAACCACTCTCTACACATATCTGAGACCCTCAACCCACGCGCCAAACTTCCTAATAGAGTTCATCCAAACCTCTCCTCTGTTTCTGGTTCTCATTCTTGATCTCCCTCCTCGAAAGGACCTCGTCATGCATCCAGATTACTTGAAGGTGTTCTATGAGGACACCCAGTTGGACAGACACAGGGAACGTCTCATGCTTCTGCCCGAGGTGCGCCCTTACTACTCTCGCTCTCTATATGTTCGGGCATCTTTCTCTCCCTCATCCATTCTGGTCTCCATAGAAGCAAACTCCGTGGATCGCATGGAAGACATTGTTAGGGATCATGTGAGCCCTGTTGCCAAGGAAATGCTGGATATATGGCTTGAGTTGTGTGCTTGTGCTGAGAGGGAGGAACTTGGAGTGGATGAGAGTCGCGAACTAGCAAGGAGGGACCGCGTCTTCAGGAACAAGGGGTTTGAGATTGATCTCGAACCGAGTTACCCCAGGCTTTTCGGGCAGGAGGTCGCAAACCGCGTTTTACAAGTGTTAAGAGACGTTATCCTTAACACTTGAATTATATGTGGTCATGTATAATATTGTCAACCCATCTCTCTCTCTCTATATGCCCTACTTTTGTGGAATTTTACTGGGTTTGTTGCTGTTGTGAGATGTACATTGTTCTGCTGTATAAACATAGATTGTAATGGTTTTCAAATGTGTCACTGAAACACTTATGTATAGCTTTTCATTTCATCCATGAATTGAAGTACTTCTTCGTCCGTTCTTGGAAGCCTTCTATTTTGTCTTGGAAGCCTTCTATTTTGTCTTAGGTTGGTCTGGTTTTGGAAGCCTTAACACTATATGTTTGGTTCAAGAAATTTGGAAGGAAAAGAAAAAAAAAGATTTTCTTTTATTTTCCTGAATGGGAGGAATCTGGATTTCCTCATCCACCATACATCACCCTCTATGCTACTGGAATATTACAAGAGTGTTAGATTTCTCCAATTATTAATAATACTCCGTTTGAAAATATCCTCCCACCAAACACATCCTTAATTTTTAAATATTACTCCATTTCTCTCAAAATCATATAGGCCCGTTTGGTACACAGAATTCAAACTATGGAATTGGAATTGAGGACTTCAATTCCAATTTCCGTATTTGGTATCACAAAAATTATGTGGATTTGGAATTGATAGTGCAAAAAATGAATTGAAATTGGTGAATTAAATTCCATGGAATTGAATCCCATGGAATTTTAATTCCAATTCAATTCCAAATTCATCAATCCCGTGTACCAAACGAACCATAGAGTAATCTTTATTATTTTAAGCCGTCCTAGAGAATTTATCTTTTTATTCAATCTTTAGAAAATTTATACTTTTCTCTCTTTGACCACATATTTAGCTATACATATTCTTTTTTTCTTAAGATTTCATGCCAAGTCAACTGTGACTCTGTGAGCTACCCCGTATTCCGTATTTTTTTTTAAACAAAGGGAGAATCACATATACTTTAAATTTTTAAATTTTACATCAACTTTTAATTAATCGAGACCCTAGTTTTTTCCAACCTAATCCAAAAATGGAAGTTAGCAAGTGAAATCTAATACGGAGTATCTGCCATTTGAAGTTTGAGGATTAGATTCTGAACAAACAGTTGAAAAGAATATGGACTAAAGTTGAACTCAAAGTAACCTTCTTTGTTTGGTTGATAAACATAACTGCCTTTTACCGAATTTTACATCCAGGACCATACAGTGTAGATTATGAAACTTAACAGGTCAGGGTAACTTCAAACCATTTTGACATGGACACAATTTGAAATTTCACAAGTTTTTTTAGTTGGTAATAACAAAGGTAACAAGAGTTCTTTTCTTGGTTTTGTCATTCCAAGAAAGTCCAATTTATCTCATGTTTTTGTCACACACATTGATTACTTACTAAAAATGGGTCAACATTCTCAACCTGCAATCATGGAAAATTGAATTGAAATAGCCCCTCCAAAGTCCAAAAGCATGTTCGCATGTCTTATCAAAAAACACAAAACCATTGCACCTGAATCTAACCAAGAAAGAAACTTTCTTACTATTTTATTAGTACTTCACATCTACCAAGATAGATCACACTCCACTGTTACTACAAGAGCTGAGACTTATATGCAAATCTCATTCAACACATCATTCATTCATTCTATGTCTCCAATAGCTACTTGTACAAAGATACAATCTACCGATCCAGCCCGGTCGTTCTTCAATGAATCGATTGAAGAATAAAAGCGAACCGGCTCACGAAGATCACCATAATTTAATGTACAACAGCTACCATTTGTACAACAATGCATGTACAAAAACCAAAACCGCCTGCTTCCTACCTATAAATATGGCCATCTTTCTTCCCTAACTATATCTCTCTTTCCGTTCACACGAACAACTCACCCCTTCGCGGCCAGTTCTCGACACCGTCCGATGTGAAGAGCACAACTGATATATCGGTTAGTTTTTTGCTGCTCAGCCGAGATTTAGGGATCTTCGAATGCTTCGGAGCATTCGGGGCCTCAACCGCATCCGAATCGCTCAAATGCTTCGAACCATTCGTGTCCTTGAAACCAATGGTTTTCCTCGGCGTGCTATACTCGAAATGCCATTTCTTTGCAATTACCGTCTGATAAAAGAAAAATGAAAACATTGTAAATACCAACAACAAAGTGATATAATTCAACTTCAAAAAACATTGGCTTACACCCTCATTCCATTCCAAGATAAAGTTCAAACTTTCTTTTTTTAGAAGTAGTTTAAACTTTTCGAAATTCCTTTTAGGAATTGAATCATAATTTCTCTAATTTCAACCACACACATCTCAATTTTCACCCATTCTAAAGTCAAAGTGTAAACTTGGATACATACCGCTTCTCTAATGGCCTTAGAAACATGAAACAAGCTCTTCAAATCATCGTGATCCGCCCTACAAACAATCCTAATCTGCAAACCGGTGGAACAAAACCCAAACTCACAAGTCAAACCAACTGTGAATCAAATCAAAGTGCAAACATAACACGCAGATAGAGATTTGAGCAACATACCAAAACATCAAGAGGCAAAGATTCAAGAACCGAGTTCCCACAAGCCGGAGGAGAAGCCTCCGAGCAGCAGTGTCTCTTCGCCGGCTCCTCCACCTCCTCCTCCATGAGAGAAACCGGCAAGGCGACCCTTTTCCGGCCAAACGAGTGGCTCCTCACCAACCCAGACACCAAGCCTCCACGCCTGTTCCAAGGAGCCATTTTTGCCCCTATCTTTCAGCAAGAAACGAGCGCAAGATTTGATTTTTTTATATATTCTTGTACTCCCAACAGCCAACAGAGCCGAATCTGATGGATGCCCAAATTGAAAATCGCAGAGAATCCAAATATATCCTATCGAAATCACAGAGAACCCTAATTTTTAGGGGCAGCACTAAATACAGATTGGCGTAACTGTGGTGTATCTAAAGAAGGAAACTGAGAGAAATTTGTTGGTGAAATAGCTGTGTTTGTGCTCCCAGGAAGAATGCCAAGAACCGCCTTCCACTTTACCAGAAAAGTCCTTGTTTTCACATTATATATATATATATAGAGGGGCCTCGGATTCCTCGAAATTTACCATCTTTCCCCCTTTTTTTATTTTTATTTTCCTTAACGCGATAAATAAAACGGACGGATAAAAATTGAAATTGAAAAAAGAGGTCTAGTAGTTCACGGTAGTTTCTAGTAGGTCCCTTCTTCCGTTAAGTCTGCGTCCTAACCGCGTAAGGTCGAAGTTGGAGTAACAAAAATGTTTACAACCTACTCTCCCCCGTCCTAAAATTAATTTCTTAGTTTGACTTTTGCAGTCAAAGTTTTTAAACTTTGACTGTATATTACAGAAAAAATATATTGAATTTTCATATAAATTTAGTATCAATAGATTCATTTTGACATAATTTTGAAATATATTATTTAGATAATATATATTCATATAAAAATAGAGATATTAATGGTCAAAGTGTCGCATTGGAGACCGTGAAAAGTCAAATGGAAAGTTAATTTTAGAACGGAGGGAATATTTTAAATCAAATTGTATTATTGTAGTTTTAAGGTTTACATGTAAAAATTAGATTTTTTTCACATATTTTTTTTATAGATTCATAGTTGTATCTCATATTTAGTTTTACAAAGCTCAATGCATAAATTTATTTTGTGTATGAAGGTTCATAAAATAAGCATGAAGCTAAAGATCACAAAGAAATTGTTTTTTAGATCACGGGAGTTTCTTTAATATTAGAATCCCAAGTCAGTCAACTAAATTTAGGAATGCAATTCAAGGGGGGGGGGGGAATCGATTCGGTTGGGCGTTGTGAATGGTTCAAGGGGTGGTTTTTAGGGGTAAGGACAATAATTTTTTGAATATGACACGATAAATGCATCAATTAGAGCCCCATGTCATAGGCTAACATTAGTCATTTGCACCATCTCGATTTTTAATACTATTCTTAAGTTCTCTTCAATGTATTACTTATTGTTTTTTCTTATTGAGATCAGATCATACTACAATCATATTAAACTAGATCTTATTTGACCTTAATAAAATCAAATCAGATTCAATCAGATTAGATGAATAGAACATGCTCTTAGAATTAAAAATTGGAGTCTATTGTGGGTCCCAAAATTATTGTCTTATTCCAAATAACAAGTTTTAACTAGTTTTATTTCCAATTTTACTTATTTAAATAATAGGAAACAATTTCAAATATATATATATATATATATATATATATATATATATAGGGCCGGTTCCCGTGAGAATGCACCTTGTGGAGAGAAATGAGAATAAAATCTAGCTGTCGGATCTGATGCATCGTGCGGCTCAAATTGCATCCTGCGCTCAGATTTTGAGATAGTGCATTTTCGAAGGTTTATGGTGCATTTCGACGTGTTGCATTTTCGCACCATTTTGGTGCATCTAATTTTGATGAAATCTAGACCCTTAGATCTCACAATCTAAAGCACCAGATTTATTCTTATTTCTCTCCTAAGATTGCATTCTCACCAGAACCAATATACATATATATATATATATACACACACACACACACACATACATACATACACACACACACTTCGTATTAAAAAATTATATCAAATTCCTTAAAAAATATGGAGTAAGAGGTGTTCTAAGAAGAGGTACGGTAGTATTTTTTCCTAAATCTTGTACTTTAATCGGAAATATAATGTGATAAAAAATAATATTATAATATAATTTTTCTTCTTATTACTCATTTATAGTGTAGAAACTTATTTTTTCAAATATTAAAAAATTGTACATATTCAAATTTTAAAATATTATAATATTCTTTAGTATATGTAAAAATTAATTAAAATTCAAAATAAAATACTATAACAGTTTTAATGTAATATATATAATTTGATATTTTACTCTTTTTAATGAAAAATAAAATTACTAGTATGAATATAAGTATTTCAAAAAATGAAAATCATAAACAATAAGATCAACCCAAATATAATGATACTGGGTTATAAACATGTAATTCACGAACAAGATTTACCTGAATTCAATGTAATCTGAATTTGAAAGAATCAAATCCGAATTCAACTTACCGATTTTCCAACTTATGACTCCAATAGTCCGATGGTAGACCTGGGTTCAGTCCCTGATAAATGTGCTACGAGGTAACTATGCTAATTATAGAGTCTATACAAATACTTAGTGCAGACTTCACTCCTTTCACCAATCTGTAACTAAAATCTAATTTACATTATCTAATTAGATCGTCCGGCCAAGTTTGAGGGGCCCATGGGATGAGCCGGTGAGACTCATTTTTTTTACTAAAAGAAAGGAGGAGAAATAGCCGTTTTACATGGACACGTGGCGAGATATCAGGGGTGGACGCAAATAGTCGTAGCAGCTGGTCGGTTGTCCAACTGTTCCAGCCGGTGGTCGGTGGCTTAGCGAAACACGTTTCGCCACCTCACACGTCATTTCACGGCGGCTATAGTTCCAAGCTTATACCGCCACGTTTATTACTCCACAAAATATACTCCTTTCCTTCTTAATGAGTTATAGCAAAATAAAATAAAACGTTAAGCTTTTTAAAATGTATTTTATTTAAAAATTAGTATTAATACAAAAAAATAAAATTTATACATCTAAAAAGTACATTAAATGTTGTTCAAAACAAATATTAACAAGAATATTTTATTTTATAAAACAATCAATGAAAACATGCAAATAAACAAAACTTGCTTCATTTTTGAATAGTAAACGACGTTCTTGATGCAGTGCGATGCAATATCGACTTTCAACATCCGTTTTACATTTCCGGCATTTTTAGATGCTTTTTAGTAAGGACATTTTAGACAATTCAACTCCATCGGCAGCCCATCTTAAAAATTAAGAAAAGTCAGAATGGAAAGGAAAAAATGATGGTCAATCTTTTCATTTGACTTATATATATATATATATATATATATATATATATATATATAATATACACACATATATATTGCAATTTAATACTTTGATGAGAACTATTTTTATTTATATATAGATAAATAATATAAAAAGTATATCATTTCAAAATTATGTTTCAAAATGAATCTATTTATTTGATATTGAATTTTTAGGATAATTAAATACATTTTTTTATAATGTGTGGTTAAAATTTCAAAATTCTAATTAGTTAAAAATCCCATCTAAGAAGAACTTTAGAAAAAGAAAATAATAATATACAAAGTACTCCGTACAAATTATTTTCCTTCTCATTTTCTTTTTCTTTCCCTCCCAAATTTATTAAACCAAACAGAGTGCTTACCTAGTAGCGCCCCGGGGCATTTTTTCAATTTTTAACGCCTGGGGCGTTAAACACCTCCCCCAGCGACGTTATAGGCGCGTTAGGTTAACTGCGTCAAACGTTTATTGTACGGAAAACGAATGCCCCCCGAATGGCTCTTATAGTCGTTTAAACAAAAAAAAATCTTTCTTCCCTCTATAAATTCAATATTTAAAATAAAAATTAAATACACACACATCTCTCTCTATCTCCATCAAATTTAAAAAATTATTCACATTTTTTTCATGTTTTTTTTGTCCGGTCTCGAGCAAATGAAGAATGGATGTGGATTCTCTAATCATACGTCGGCAATCTATTGATGTATGATACGCAAATCTCGCTGAATTTCCAGATCTCAGAGTTGGTTCCGGAGACTCAACCGGAACCAAGTGCACCAAAAAAAGTGGACGCCGGAAGAGTTGCAAATCTCGGTTAATTAATCTTTTTATTAAATGTTACTCCGTATTTTTTTATTGAATTTAATTTTTTTAATTTAATGAATTATTGCCATTTAAATTAAATAAAATGAAGTCTTATTTAATTTAATTTTAGAAAATGTGTTTTAAAAATGTAAAAATTAAAGGTTTGATGTCCCAGTTTGACACCTTGGAGTTTCAAAACCATTTTCAGTGAAATTGTAGGATAAGTTAAAATTAACATGAAAGAAAAATCTTGAAACTCCAATTTTCAGCCCCGAGACTTCATGGGCATTACGAGTGCTTTAAGCATAAGGGGCTATTTGTTTCAGCCTCTTAATGGTTCAGATGTCTGAATGGTTCAGCATTTAATGGTTCAGACTGTTTGTTTCAGCCTCTTAATGGTTCAGGTGTCTAAATGGTTAAGACATTTGCCTCTGAATGGTTAAGTATTATACAGAGTCTGAATGGTTAAGACCTCTTGTCTGAATTGATCAAACATTTGCCTCTGAATAGTTAAGCAATATACTAGCACTTAATGGTTCAGACCTCTTACTGGTTCAGCACTTAATGGTTCAGATCTCTTACTGGTTTGCCAAACAACCCCAAACTCAAAATTGTTAGTTTACGATCGCAGTCTAAAGTGACGGCTGAAAGCAGCTAGGGAGGTGTACGCGGTTTTTTTTAAATAACGTCAAAAGATAGTGAGCTGGCCGTGACCATTTGAATACAATACAATACACACATAATCCTAGTCGGAAAACTAAAACATTCGTGCTATACATACTTTTCATCACTTTCGGTCATTGACCGATATGACTACCCACGTCACCATACACGTATAATATGACTATTATTGTCTTCCTAAAGTTTATATAAAAAATATAAACTTTCCTAACACAATTTTCATAAATTTATTATTTTCGGTGTTACTGTAAATAAAATTCATACGGAGTAAAAAATATGAACTTATGGATCACAAAAGAATTTGACTTGATTGTGCGGTAGGTACTAGTACCAGGCTATTAATAGCAAGTTTTTTTGTTGAATTTGATGTTCCAAAATGACATTTGGTATCACAAAACTTTAAGAAGTAAGAACTTTTTTTTTATATAAAAATCAATTAAAAAGATATCATAAATTAAAAGTATACTCCTTATTTATGAAAATACTGATCTTTACTTTTTGTTCCAAAATTGTTATATAGTTACATTTGATATTTTACGATTATTAATGCAACATTTGACAATTTTTTTGGTAGCTCTCACACTCATCAGTGTAATATTTGTTTA